CAGGGTTTGGAGGCTGCCCGGCAAACCGTGAAGCCGGTAGCGCTCGGGCTTTGGGCAGCCCCCCTTGCCTCCGGACCCTGCACCGCCGGAGCAGAGCAGCTGGAGCCCGGGAGGGGAAGCGCCCAGCCGAGGGCGCAGGGTCTGGAGGCTGCCCGAAGCCGGAGCGCTCGGGCAGCTCGGCTCTTAAACAGAGCCGAAGAGTCAGGGGAGGAGCAGAGCAGCCGGAGCCCGGGAGGGGAAGTGCCCGGCCGGTATTTTTCCCGAACATGTTCGGCTTTTTGGCAATTCACCCCGGACGGGGGTTTGATTACCAAAAAGCCGGACATGTCCGGGAAAAACCGGACGTATGGTAACCCTAAACTCGGCCCCTCTGACTAAATGCACAAGACAGCCAGCTGCAGAAGGAACGTTTAAACTGCTACCATAGCAGCTGGGGGGAAAATATGCCTGCATTAATACTTACTATGGCGGCATTTTCCAGACTGCCAGGCAAATGTATGCTTAGGCGAAGCGTGTGGCTTTCTTTTCAGGTCACCAAAGGGTTAACCACCTGCCTTTGGAGAGTGCCCGTCCTTTAGTTTTGCTTTGCCACGGGAACTAGAAAGATCCCTTCTCCTTAAGGAATTGCGTCACCTAGTCTTTCTTGAGATGCCCTACAGGGGTCTGGTTTTCAGACAATGCTCCACACCCGGCCACTGCAACTCAGGCCCCTTTAAGGCACTCAGGCAGGGCACCCAGATCACTAGTCCCTTTTGACAATCTTGGCCGGAAGGTTCCACAATGGAACGTGTCCTGTGAGCGGTGACAGGAGAACCTCAAACCACGTGGAGGTTCAGGCTGGATACACTCTGGAAGCATGGAGCCTTCTCCAAATGAGCTGGGCCTCTGGGTTCTGCAAAGGCAGGTACGAAACCTCCCGGGAACTGGCTCTCTCACCAGATAGCTGCAGGAGACGCAGCGAGATCAACGCTTTCTCCTTCCTATTTGAGCCCCATACAGCATAGCAGGGAGTGGGCTAGAAATACCAAAGAAGTTATCCAGACTAAGGCGACGCAAATTTGACTTGTCAATTCCAGCCTACTCATAATCTTGGGTTCAATGTTCATTGAAATCCGTGGCCACCTCAGGCCTCTCCGAGGTGTCACTAAGCACATCACAACGTCTCTCAGATCTTCATGGCGACAGCGGGGGAAGGACTCGGATCTCCCTGCTCCAAAAAGCACACGGCCCTGCCAGCTGAGCTGAAGGAGAATCTCCAGCAGCACGATGGGATCGGAGACAAACCCGAGCAGTGTGGACTCCACCCAGTAGGAGGCAGTGGGGCGCAGACACACACTGTCCACTTCCTTACAGGATGCAGGACACCTACTGATGTCAGCTCAGCTTTCGGGGGTGGCCCTGTTATCCCTAATACACAGCACAAGCTGCTGCCCTTTAGCTAGGCAAATACATAATCACCCTCAGGGAAATAAACACCAGGGTCCAGATCCTTAGCCAGTGTAGACTGGTGTCGCCCCCCTGCAGTCAAAAGGATGATGCTGATTTACGCCAGCTGAGGATCCAGCCGCGTCAAATTAAAACAACAAGGAGAAAGGTTTGGGAATTCACACTAGGTTTGCCAACCCCACTGAAATAGTTTGCAAGGTTCTGGAAACCTCAGACTCCCCCAGGGTCTTCTCGCCCCACGCTGGGCAAAGGTCTGGCTCCAATCGGGGTCTAACCGGACGCAGGTTTGTGAGAGAGCAGAGGGGGCAGGTTTCTTACTCTGTCATTCCCCTCCCTCCTCTTGTGAGTGACACGAGCGTTAACACTTTACCTGCCAGGCTGAAATGAGGCAGCCAGGCAGTGAGCAGAGGGACAGCGAGGCGAACCAGATCACAGTTTGCCTCAAGAGAGGCCAGTTCTCCTGGCTCTATCCCCCTAGCTAAGGAAGGCACCTGCATTGAACTAAAAGCTTTCAGTCCAGCTCACAGCTCCAACCAACCACTCGGCTAGCGAGGGTGATGGGAACTCCCTGACCCTTTCCCACCAATCTGCTCTTGCTACAGCCCATCCCCGGGGCAGCGATCACAGAGGCTGCCCTGACTGTGCTGTATAGCCCGGGACTCACTGTGCGGGATCCTCCCCCTGGTTACGCACTCCTAGAACAGCTGCCTCCAAAGACCACTTTGTCCCTGGTTTGCCCAGCAGGATCCGATCTGGCCCCACTCTGCTTCCCAGTCCCAGACACTGCAAAGCCTTTGACCGAGGGGCTAGTATCCACCTGCTAGAATAAGCCTCCGACCTGGCCTCGCTGTGGTGACGGTGAAATGAGTTGGATGGTCTCTGCCTTGACCCAGGGGGCGGCCTGCGTACGGGGTGCAGCCCCCACGCTGAGGCCACACAAATCGGAGCGATACGCACATGGTGGAGAAGGGCAGGATTGGCGCTGTCATATCGAGTGTTTCTCCGCTTCCTCCCTCCGGCTAGCTGGCTCCAGTGACACCCCCGTATTGGTGAGGCGGCCTCCTGTGGCTTTGAGATCTCTCATCTCCATGAGGGAAGGGGAGCTGCCTCTGGATTCACTCCCATGGGAGAGATCTATTGTACCGAGCTTCCCTGCCTGCCCGTCCCAAGGCCTGGTCCCTCTCAGCACGTCTGAGCCCAAGGAAACAAGTGAGCGGCCTTTCTAAAGCAACATGCACTGGAACCATTCCATCAGCCAGGTATAAACCAGTCCTAGAGCAGGGTGGAGACTGGAGATAAGGGATCTCGCCTGGGGTGGGCACTTTAAGACGCGGAGTGCTCGGATCTCCCCAGGAGCTTTAAAAACGTCCCTAGTCCTCCATGCACAGAAACCAGCGCAGTTTCCTCCCGGCCCCACCCCTGCCACACTCGCGTCGGAGAGAGACAGCGTCCTAGCAACGCTCTCAGAAATGTTTGCTGACATTATGCAAGGAGAGGGCACAGAATGGGCAGAACACCCCACCCTCCCAGACCTCCCCTGCTCAGAGCAAGCAGATAAACAAGCCCCCCCCCCGCCATGATCGGGGGCCGCTTGGCTCGCTGGGAGCTAATGACGCTCCAGGGAAATCTAATGACAGTGCTGGATACAAAGCTCTTTCCCAAGAGGACAGCTCCAGGGATTGCAGAGTTGACACCACTGACAGAGAGCCCAGGGTGTGACTTAGTGTCACATATTCACGTCATAATGCTCCATTGGGAGATCAATTCAGGGCTCTTACAGCCTAGGACCGCAGCAGCCCGGCTCAGAAATGGAGCTGCAACTGAGGAGGCTGGTCACCACAATGGAGAAATGCTGCAAAGATTCGTGCACAGCCAAAGGTGCAGAGGGGCTGTTGGTCTCACCCCAGCAGCCCATCCCTGCAGCAGATGCTGGTACCCCAAAGGGCCAGGGAAAGCGGCTGCTGTTGCTGACACAGCCCTGCCCCCGAAGCCGAGTTCACACTCACTCTCGTTCCACGCGGGAGCCCAGAAGGCCGTGGTGAGCCCGAACTGGGGAAGGCGATGTGGTGGTGGAGCTGGGTGGGCGTCTAGTTTTGCTGGGATGGTGATCAGAAGTGCTGGCCCTGCTGTGCCGCTCTGCCTCGGAGTCCGTGTGAGCTGGGGACATAAGGAGACAGTGCCAGACGTTAAATGGCCGAGACCTTTGGGTGCCTCCGTTTATTTCACCGGCGACCTGGACCTGACCCAGACACTTTCCCTCCCCGCTAAGGTGGCTCTGGGTGGGAGAGGATTCAGTCTCCATGGTCCAGTCAGTCCTTGACCTCTCTGCCAACACATGCACTGTGGACCTCTGCTCACTGGAATGAGACCTTCCCAAACTCATTCCCCCCAGGTCACCCAATAGCCAGGTTAGTCACTATCCGCTTGAGTGGCATTCGAACCAGCACCCAGGAAGTGAAAGGCTCCATTTCCCATGCCCAGTCTCCAGAGACACCCACTGTCAAAGGAACAGGACTGAGCGAGTCAACCGACTGGGTGAGGGAGGCTCCCCGGTACATTACCGGTTTCCCTCCGAACCATGCGCCTGAGGAAAAAGGGGCCACAGGCTGGATTTGTCTCAGGCCATAAACCAAAGGGAGGATTTAAGATTCTGGGAGCCCTGAAATCTAGTCTGCCTGTGAGCAAACTTCAAGCCAAATCACAGAACCTGTGTCCAAAGGCTGTGGGTATGAGGGGGCGAGAGATCTCTGGGTGATGGGAATTGAGGGTGAGGAGAGGTCACTAGCTGGTACAGCCTTAATTTGGGGGACCAATACAGCTCTCCCAAGCGACGTGGAAGTGGATACTCTCTGTGGGCTTTTCTTATGTCTCTCTCCCTGGCTGTCTGAGCCCCATCATCCCCCCTTAAAGCACCATTTCCCAAGCAGGCACACGGGAATGACTAGCACTGGTCCAAATCTTTTAGATCAAAAATGAAAATTTGGGTGGAAAAAAGTTTCATTTTGGGCCATGTTTTCCCAGTTTTCTATTGAAACACCAAATCCCCCCAAATTTTGGTTTTCAAAACATGATTTTTTTAAACTAAAAATAATTTTTGAAAACCACGAGATAGGTAGCGGGGGAAAAAATGGAAAATGTTCTAAAAAAAATTGATATTTTTTGTTTGTATCAGCGGCAGCTCCTCTCACTGTAGGAAGACGGGAGGAGAACTCTGCCCCCTACAGGAAACAATGTGTGTCTCATGCTGGAGGTGCCCAGACACCCAGGTGATGGGCACTTTCTACTCACTGATGTCTGCGTCTGGTCCCACCTCGCTGGTGATGCTGTTTGTCCACTGGGGAGGGGAGCTGGTTGGGGAGGGGCTGCCCCGGGGCAGGCTGTGTCTCCGGGCACTGCCTCTGGGGGGCGCCTGGCTGGCGGAGGTGTACATGCCCAGCAGTTCCTTTTCCAACGGCAGGGAGGCTGCCTCTTTCCGCAGGGAAGTGTGAAGGGCAGCAGGGCTGGATGTGGGGCCAGATCTTCCCAGCATGCCAGGGGTCCTGGGAACAAGGCAAACACACAGGCCTCACTGAGGGACTCTATCACCAACCCGGCTGCTACTGCGCTTCACCCATCTGGCTGGTTTCCTCTCGTCTCTTCCTTCGTAAGTCTTTCCTGGCACCCCTGTCCCAGCCACTGCTCAGCCCACGTATTCTGTAACTACCCTCCCCCTGTTCACTAATCATCCCCTTTGCCATTCCATGTGCTCGAGACCCCCTCGCCCCATTCACCCTAGTCCCCAATTCACTGCTCACCCCATTCACGCCACTTCCTCATGCGCCTCTCCCCCAGTCTGATCATCTGCTCTAGTCCCTCCCCTTTTCTCTCACCCCCATTCACCAATCACCAACCCCCACTGGGCCCCATATACTTAGCCTCCTCCCCATCCATAGGCTCCATCACATCACACATTCCTTCAGCCCTGGACCCTTTTTATCAGCCCCCCCAGGGCAGGAGAGGGGACGAGGGCAGGTCATAGGAGCTGGAGCGGGGAGAAGAGAGACAAGGGTCCATACGCAGTGCGAGAGGGGCGATGCTCCGGGGTGCGCGTCAGCGGGGACACCCTGCTGGCCTCTGACCCCACAAACCCACTGTCCGTCTCTGGAGACACGATGCGTTGATCCTGCAACAAAGGGAAACTTGATCCAGTTCAGATCAACACAAGGGATGCTGGCCAGGTGACCAGGCCGAGCTGGTCTGTAGCTGGAAGGGAGACCACCAAGTACAAGCATACTGGTGGATGGTGCTGGTCAATCAGTAGGTGGTGTTCCTCCCTCGTAATCAGCACTGAATAAATGCCTCAGCATGGTGTTAGGGGGTGCTACGTTGCTGGAGCCATTGTCTTTTATGGGAGAAAGAAGACTGAAGTTCTGAAGCACATGGTCATTAAACTAAACCCCATGGTCCATTCTGCAGGAATCAGGGTGTTACCTCCACAGGCAACGGGCCATATTCCACGTTGGAGAATTGCATTCTGCCCTGGCAAACTCTCCTGCAGCTTCAAACATGGAAATGATCCTTCCCTTCCTTTCTAAGAACCTGCTGGGTGGTGTTCCAGTGTGCTGTTAAACAGCTGCGGTGGACCACACACCAGAGATGGCTGCATTTCAGCAGCTGAGAAGGCAATTTCTGTATACATAGGGCCTTATTTTCAGAAATAGCTTCTGGATCTGTGCCCCAAATTTAGTGACCCTGAGTAGATGGGAGCCCTGCCCTCCATTTCACCCTTCTGGACGCTTACCTCGGACCGGGAGGATTTTGCCTGACGGAAAGGCTTCTGCGGAAGGTGCTCAGAAATGGCGCTGCCCACCATGCTGCTCTGGCGGGACAGTGTCTCCTGCTGCTCCCCGAAGGACGGCTTGGGGATTGCATCCTGGGGCCTGGCTTTAATAGCCATGTTCCGAGGGAGGGACTCCTCGCCCTGGACAGAGGACAAGCGACTGCTCTTCCTGACCAGCTGCCGGCGTTCCCCTGGCTGCAGGGCGTGCGACCTCCTCTCCGGGGGCTGCCTGTTAGGGTGAGAAAGCACCACCAGTCAGAACCCTCCATCAAGATGGGGCAGTGCCCCCTTGTCATAACTCTGCTGCCATCTGGTCTCCCAGTCCCTGCAGCACCACCAGGTCCAGGGGCACAGCCGCCCGCCATCTCACAGTTCCTGCCAGCAGCGGCTCAGGGAGTTTTTGGGGAGCACTGAACCTACACGGCACAATAGGCCTGCACCTGCTCCCACTGGAACCAGTGGTGATACCCCCATTGTTGCTGTCAACATCGTTCAATGGGAGCAGAGTCAGGCCCACCAGGTGCCCAGCTAGTCAGGTGTCTGCTTCCATGCCCAAGGCTGCACCGCGAGAGCTGGGTGGAGAAAGGTCCGGCCGGTTCCCAGAGGATTTCCAGAGTCGAAATCTGGGTCAGTTCCGAATCGAAATGAAAATCAGAGTGCTCCACAAAAGGATGGGAGACCACTACCCCTGGGGGCTGTTCCTGGGAGCCCCGATTCCAGGGTGCTCTGACTGGAGGGCTGCCCCCAGAGACTTGGAAGCCCTAGGGGCCAGGCGGGCGCGCTGGCAGGAAACCAGGCAGGATTCCATTTCTCACACACACACACACACACACACACACACACCCCCCTCTCGACAGACTGGGCTGTTGGAACTTTGTTGGCATCGCAACCGTCTCTGCGAAACATTTTGATTTCCAGCAACCAGCGAAGTCAGACAAAAAGGTGTTTCCTAGGAACCTCTCTGACCAGCTCTATGCAGCACTCTGCTGAGAGTCTGGCCCTGGTGAGGAAAAGCACCGTACATCACAGGCCCCAGGGCCCACACGTGTGTATTGCAACGATGTGGGGAGTCAGCAACCAGATGGGTGGATTTATACCTTAGCTTGTGAGCTTTATTCAGGGCAGGGACGGCATCTTCCTGTACATATGTACAGCTCCTGGCACAGTTTGGGCTTTTACTGTGGTCTCTGAGTGCCTTACAGACATGATACAAGTAAACAGCCAAAGCCTCAGTTTCTTGGTTCTCTCCTAGTCAGTAGAATGTGTTCAAGTTTGCATGCTCAGTTTTCTTCCCCCCTTCCCACCCCCATTTCTTCCTCCTCTTGGCCTCGCCCTCCTTCTCCTCATTATTTACTCTGCAATGGGCTCGCCCCCGGGGGACAGAGTCCTCTTTGCTTCTGCAGCCAGCTTGCCCTCCAAAGCGGGGTAAGAAATAGCTGAAGGCTCCTTTGTTCTGCTTGTGACTTGGAGAGATAGAGAAAGAATGCGTCTTTGTGTGCCTGGTTTATTACATTTTACCCGAGTAAAGCGAAAGTGGGACTCACTTCTTATTTAGGCCACCCCCAGACACCCAGACAAAATACCCTGGTAAATGTAACACAGCAGAACAGCATGTAGTGGGGTTAGACTGAGTCCATACTGGCCAATACACCATCCTAACACTGCCCTGCTGCTACCCTCAGTTTCTGCAACATTGAAGATTTCATTTAAAAAAAAAAAAATGAAGGGGAAAAATTTCCAAAAGTGACCACTGATTTTGGGAGCCGAACTGGAGAGCATCCAGAGGCAATTCAGATTGTGAGCTCTTTGGGGAAGAGAGCATCTTTCTGTTCGGTCTCTGTACAGCCTAGCACAATGGCGTCCCTCTTCCATGACTGGGCTCAGAGGCACTACCACAATACAATACAATACAATCAGTAAGCAAGTCCATTTGAGCACCTAAAATGCAAGCATTTTGCAGAGGGTTTAACAAAACTCCTGACTCTCCAATCCTACGGAGTCAGTTTGTGGGATGGATGATTCATGGGGATAAATTTTCGACATTACTTTTTCCCTTTTTATGCTTAAAGATCTTGCATGCTGTGAAGGCTATTTGTTTCAAATCTCTCTCTCTCTCCCCATGAAATACTGAGGAACAACAAAGGGCTGATTTGCAGAGATCTCAGGAGAAGCACTAGATGAAATGACAGGGAATTACAGGTTCCAGTCCCACACTGGGCCCTAGGTAATTGAGACACACAGAAGCAGTGGCCACCTTTGAAAATCTGGACCTGTCTAGCCATCATGGCTGCAAAGAAAACTTTTCAAATGCAACGTAATGCTGTGCAGCCTTCCTGAGAAACAACAGTCCTGGACAGCCGTGAACTACCCCATTCCCCTGTGGGTGTTACCTCTGAATCCTAACAATGGCAAGGCAAACACCAGTAATATAAACTATTTCACAGCTGATCAGTTTAGCAGAAACATAAAGCCCTGCACTTTAGCCTTTGGGTTTCCAACACGACAGGGCATTTAGACAAAGAAATGAAAATACAACAGTTTTTAATAGACATTTATTTTTTAAATAACGAAAAAGCTTTGTAACAATTTCCCCTCCCTTCTAACAGAGCTGAAATTTTGGGCTTACAGTCAGTTGGCGCTGTCCCTTTAAATTAGTCTCTTGTCACTTCCCCTCTCCCCCCAATTAGTGCAGGATATTCACAGGACATGCATTTTGTGCTCCTGAATTACTTACGGCTGAGTGGTCACATGGGTCCTCTCTTCCTTTAATGACAGCATCCCGTGAGGGCTCTCAGCCATCCCAGCATCTTCTGCAGCAGGGCCATCCACTTCCTGTGGGGAGCCGTTCTCTTCCAGACCCAGCTGTTCCATGCTCAGAGATTCAGGCAAGGACTTGAAGCTATTGTAGCTGGTGGTATGAAAGAGATTGAGTGTTTCTCCAGCCAGCCAGAGGTCCCCTTCCTAGTGGCAGCAATACCATGTTCCAGCACCCAGACCCAGTTAAAACACCAGGGGCACCTTAGGATGATGCACCAGCTCACGTTTGATCTGGATTGACTGGCAGCAGCCAGTTTCGCAGGACAGGTTAGCAGCCGGATGCGTAAGTAAACAGGGCACTGGCAGCACTATCAGAGCAAGGGATAGTGTGGGGAAAAGCTCCTCCCTCACTGCTCTGCCAAAGCACCTCAATCCTACCTGGCAGAGGCGCTAATGATTTCGGCACCAAGCTCCCACACACAGCTTTAGCAATGCAGATGTGGCTGCCCCTGCCAGGCTGGTATCATGTGCTGGTTATTCCAGGGGACAAGATTGAAGCTGCTAAACTCACGACACGTGTGTCCATGGCCGGGTTGGACACAGGCCTCCAGAGATGGGAACCAATTGCCCTTTGTGCCACGAGAAGTCGATGCTTGAACTCTCGGCCGGAACGAGATCAGTTTCCCCTTCCCAGTTACGAACACAGCGATGAGGCCAAATGCACCTTTCCTGCCTGGGGTGGGCAGGGAAGCTATTCTCAATGCAGAGATCGATGCTGTGTTTTCAGAGCCCCTGACCTGCAGGCCCCTTTGTGACTGCCTCAGAGAGCTGACATCGGCAAAGAACTGAAGTCGAAACACATCCCCCTCGGGCACAAAACGTCTGTACTGCATGATCACTGCACGCCAGGCACTTGTGTTGCACGAGTGCTGGCTGTGAGCACGTAACGTGGAGCGTGCGTGTCCATTTCAACACGTCAGCATGCAAGGGGCTGGCTGGGTTAGCAGGGGCAACACTTACTGGTCCAGCAGGTTACCGAAGAACTTCTCCACTTGAAGCTGCTTGTGCCGAAGGGGCTCGGGAAGCTCTTCTCTCTCCTCCTCCGTCTCGCCACTCGCAGAACTCACCTCTGCGTCCACTTGCACTTGGGCGCGGGCATGCTTTGGAACAGGGGCCTGGGGGCAGAAAGGGGTAAGGTCAGCCCCCCAACCAGAACACCTCTGCCAGCAGGGGGCGCTGCAGGGAATGGTACCATATGCTGGCTGCAAAGGACCTCAGCAATTTTCTAGTTCAAGCCACAAATGGGAAGAATCTTGAAAGAAGCCAGGGCTTCTACACCATGTCGGGGCAGCTCAGCACTACGCCAGCTCCAGCCTCTTCCAGCAGGAGGCGCTGTAGGGAAGTGAGTGGGAGCTCAGGCGTTGTGTGTGGATGGGGGATGGGGAGAGCTCACTGCTACTCCAGTTCTGGCCTGACCCCGTAGGAGTCGCTGAGGGAACTAGGCAGCAGCAGTGGCTGCGGGCAGGGCATCCCCGCTACTCCAGACCCAGGCGTTTTCAATAGTGTCTTGGGAGTGAAAAGTGTCACCTTGCCTGGGAAACCTCAGGCCACAGAAACCGAGAGCAGCACAGCATTTACCTCAGGGTAGGGAGTGCGAAGGGCCGGGATCGGGGCTTGAACTGATGGCCTTGGGGAGGAGAGTGGCGGCTCTGAGACCAGGGTTGGCAAACAGCTGGGAGGCAAGGCTGGCTCAGAGCAGCTCCTCGGGGAGGGCAGGCTCTGCAGCGCTCGGTCAATCCCATCCTTCAGCTCCTCCAAGCGCATTCCCAGGCGGAATATCTCCCCTTCCACCGCTCTGAAACACACCATGCCAGCAACAGAGGGGTGAGGGCCTTTAAAACCATGCCCAGGTGGAAAGAAACAGCCCACAGCTTAGAAAGGAAGGATGGCCCAGTGGATAAGGCACCGGCATAGGACCCAGGCGCTCTGAGTTCAGGTCCCTGCTTTGCTACAGGCTGCTTGGGTGACTCCTTGTGGGCCCCCTCCCCATCTGGTAACAATCCTTCCTTTGTTTGGCCTGTCTGTTTGGATTGCAAGCTCATGGCAGGGACGGTCTCTGGGTGCGTGTACAGCGCCTAGCACACTGGGCTTCTGCTCTGAGACGGGGCACTGGCAATAGAAATAAAACATAACGACTGCCCCACACTAGAATGCTCTGGGCCAGGTTCTGAACCAGGTAAACCGGCAGCGGGGGAACTGCCAGACCAAAGGGCACTAACAGTGGCAGGTGCTTCAGCCTTAGGCTGGCTTCTCCCCCTTCCGTGTTTTTACCCTATCTAATATACCTACAGGTGCTGTTATTGCCCATGTCAGTGGACATCAGGACTAACTTCACTGGTGTGGGAGGGGTTACCCTGGATTTACACTGTTGTGGCTGAGATCAGATCTGGTCCACTCCCGCCAGCTCTTAGAGCTCATCTGTCACGCAGGGTACACGTGCGGCTCCAGGTCATTGTCTGCAGCGTCAGAGCGTCCTTTTAAACATGTGAATAATGAGCCAGGAGAAATCAGCCGACAGAGCTGGCTAGTACGGGATTGGAACGCAGCAGGCAGTAATTCACTGCTTAGGATTCACAGGCCTCATCCCTTCATTAACGTCCATAAGTACCAATCAGGAAACACAGGTAGATTAGAATAAAACGGCATAATCGCAACAGGACAGGCCAGTGTCACAAACGTGGCTGCATTAATCACGCTGATGGACTGGACTGCGGCTCATCTGCACAGGAGTGAAGCATTCGTTCACGCCCCTTTGCGGCTGGCTGCTCAAATAAACCCAGCTTTCAAACTCCAATCCCAGAGCCCCTCTCTGTCCAACCTACATTTTCTTTCTTGGGCTCTAACCCCCTCATGGCAGTGTCTGAGCACCTCATTTATCCTCATGCCCCAGGGGCGGTCTTGTTGTCTGCATTTTACAGACGGGAACAGAGACACTAAGCAATTTGCCCAAGGTCACAGGGTACCTGTAGCCCAGAATTGAACTCCTGGTCTCCAGAGTCCCAAGCTGGCACTCTAACCACTGAGCCATGCTTCCCCTTGATATAAATCATCATTTGAAGAGGACACTGTTTAAGGAACAAAGGCGGATGAAAAAAAAAAAAGCTACCTGTCTGGATCGAAGTCCCCAAGGGGCCCCGCTGCGCCTGGGCGCTGTTGCTGCAGACGGTTCTCTTCCCGGGCCTGCAGATACGCTCGCTCCAGAGCATCCTGCGCGTCCTTCAGCCTCGCAAATCCCTACGGAGGGGGCAGCACATCAAAATGCGTGAGTCTGAGCTTTCGGCCCCCCCACGCTATGGAATCCTTATGCCAGATGACACGCCCAGGACGGAGTCTGGCTAGGCCGCGAGGGTGGGATTTTGAACTCCAGCCAGGCTGAACTGGGCCTGTGAATCCTGAGTTTAACAAAGCCAGGACCACACACACATGCAGCCATCACGAGTCCTCAGAGGAGATAAACCTGGGACCTTCAGAACCAGAAGCATGAGCCTCTGTCAATTGAGCTAGAGAGTTACTCCATTAGCTATGCTTAAGTAGAAGGCTCTTATCCCCTTTGGGGCCAGCCATAAGAGGAAACAGGATCACACACACCAAATCAACGTATTACAGTGGTGCTAGGAACTATATAGATATGCCCAGCACTGGCACCCCTGGCACAAGAGGACTAAGTAAGTACAGCATTGCTTAACAACCTCCTCCCTGCTCCGCTGCCCTGTTTGCCTCCCGACCAGGGCCGGCTCCAGGCACCAGCGAAGGAAGCAGGTGCTTGGGGCGGCCAATGGAAAGGGCCGGCACGTCCAGGTCTTCTGGGTCCCTCAGTCCCTCTCTTCCTCTTTGAGCTGCCGCCAAAGTGCCGCCAAAGAGGAAGAGAGGGAACGGAAGACCCACCGCCGAATTGCCGTGGAAGAATGAAGCGGCGTGGTTGAGCTGAAGTACTGCCGATCGGCTTGATCTTTTTTTTCGCTTCGCCACTTGGGGCGGCAAAAAAGCTGGAGCCGGCCCTGCTCCCGACGCTCAGTGAAGAGCTCTTACGCTGAAGCTGGGGCCCGGCCGTGAAACTCCACGGCTGTGACTGTGCCCAGCTGCGGCAGTGTCACAACGTTGGCATCACAGCAGCAGGTTGCCACCTCGCCCTGGCGTGACGCTGCACAGCATCGGGAGGCAACAGTACCGTGCCACGGCACTGAACAGCCTCAGGCCTGGTGACACTGCTTTACTGGGGACACGCGGGGTCTTCTGCATAGAATCACCGGACTGGAAGGGACCTCGAGAGGTCATCTAGTCCAGTCCCCTGCACTCCTGGCAGGACTAAGTATTGTGCGCTTCAGCCCCTCTGGAGTTCTCAGTGACCGTATGGGCCACATGCACGTGCCTGGCACTAGACACAGCTGCCACTCCACATAGATCTCCTGGAAATTCCTGGGATCTCAGAAAAGGGGCGAATAAGAGAAGCAGAAAGTAAAGCTGGGGGTACCGAGAGCTGGTCCTGCGGGGTCAGTCTTCCCATTTGGATCAGTCCCTCGAAGGATTCCACCTGGATAGGAGGAATAAGGCATTAACTAATGTCCCATGGAGCTGACCTACAGGAAGGGAATTCTAATGGTTGCAGCATTACAATGGAGCTTAACCTCCTAGACCTGCCCCTCCTCTTCCTCATGGTTCCTTTCTTGTCCCCCATCCCTTGCTGGATTCTCCCCCAGAACTGACAAATTCAGTGCCCCCATTCCCCAAATGCAAGTGGGTTTCGTTCCACACACTGCAGTTGGCTCGCTCTGGACCCCACTTGCCTGCATCTCAAATTTCCTCGCCTGACCCGCCAGAGTCTGCGTCAGGGGATCCTCCGGAAATGGTCTCTCCATAGAGGTGCAGGCGTCAACCCCGGTGAGTGTGGAATGAGCCGGAAAGGATGGAGCCTGGTTACCTGGTGCTGACGATGGCCCTGGAAGAGAAGACAAATGTAAGAAGATCCCAGCTGTGTCATCTCCAAGACTAAGGGACCACCTCCATCCTGAGCACCACGGCAGGGACAAGCCACAGTCTCCAGACCTGACTCCAGAGCAGTGAGATCAAATACGTTCAGCTCACTCTCAGCAGCTCCCGATGAGTCAGAGAGCCCAGGTGAGAAGCATCTGGGCTTCAGTCTCTGGTGCACGTGTCAATTGGCAGATGGAACTCCTTGTGAATGAGCATCTGCCTTGCGCCGGGATGAAAAGTCAGCCCGGCTCGGCTCTCTTTGCTTCTCCCACTGCTGCTGAGAAGATGGTGGGGGATATTTAGAGCTGGTACAAATGGTGCCAACTCCATTGAGGTCACTGGCATCGTGGCCGCTTGCGCCAGTGATGAATTTGGACCCGGGCCAACATTGGACCACATCCTTCCCATACAGCGACACGTGGGGACTGCACATGGGCAGCACGGATGCAACTGCAGCAACTGGGCAGGTGATGACAAGATGCTGCATGAGAGGGGTCCCAGCAACGGGTGGGCGGCACAGGCACGGGGTAGGGAGGGGGCAAGGTGAATGGATCCTGCACACCAGAACGAGCAGCGTCTGCAAGAGCACAGCACCCCTACCACCATGGTGGAGTCCTGGGAGCTGGAGCATAGGCTAGCGATGATGGACAGTATCTCCAGCTGCTGGTAGGTGGCGTGCATCCAGATTCCTCCGTTGGCATTTGGTCTGGAGCTGTCCCCATCCGTGCTGCCCCAGTTGTGAACAGCTGGAGAACAGCAGGCGTAAGGGAGCTGCTTATTGCCAGGGCAGGAGGGAAGGGGGCAGCAGAACGAGAGGAAAAGCAACTGCACTAACAGACTCTCCAGTGCCTCAAACCCACCTTCGTCCAGACCTGCTGGCAGGGCTGGAGCGGGGGTGGTGCTGAACTCTGCTGTCTGGATCTGTGGGATGCTGAAAGCCATGACCTTGGAGCCATGGGCCATGGTCCCCATGTGAACGCTGTGGCTCGGCTTCGGCGGGTCGGCGTACAAGCTCACCTGAGGGGCGGGGAGAAAACAGAGCAGAGAATTCAGGTCACTCCTGACACTGACCCTCAGCACCCAGAGGATCAGGCTGATCCACCGGGACAGCTTGTGGGAAGCACCAGCTCTTTGTGTTGCTTTAGTCTGGGGGATATTCTTACATGCTGGGCCTTGGGGTAATGCTCTGCACTGCCGTAAAGGAGCTCCCGCTCCCATTCCCTGCTCTGATCTCCCACTGCCCAAGCAGGGAGAGGCTGAGAGCACCATGCACAGAGAGGGCTCGGCTCGGGGCGTGTCTAGCAGCACCAGCGGTGGGATTCTGTCAAAGGAAGAGCCAGCTCCACCACTAACCAACTGCTCATCCTGCCTCTCACATTGCTAGTGGGCTTTCTGAGGGACAGCAGGAGTCTCACCCAGCCTTCCTGAGCCAGGAGAGCAGAGACTAGTAAACACCAGCTCAGTCTGGCCCTACCACCCCTTACGTTGCCCTAGCAGACCCCGATCTCCACCCCAAGGAACAACAACAGCAGCGTATTCCCAGAACATCAGTGCAGGGCTAATGACTGCGGTGGGTGCATCAGGGTGGATGGGATGGACGGGGACAAGAGTGTAATCTAGCACTCAGAAGATGTGTATCTACATGTACGCTCAAATCCACGCGTAGCCCACATGCACAAAACTGCATGCGCACACACTCAAACACATGCACACACATATCCACCTTGACACGTTATCAAGATTTTGGGCACATGAAGTGCTGAAAGCAGAAATCTCGCCCTGAACTATTTTCCAGCCAAACTCTTTCTTTGGCTCCCTTGTTAGCCCGGAAGGAGCAACAAGGATACCCGTACTAGTTGGCACCAGGATACCCGTGTTGGCTGGCAGCGCCTCTTTTAAGTTGCACTTCACGTCCTCGCAATAAAATGCAATCCATTCAGAAACAGTATCGTAGCCTCAGCACCAAGGCACTTGTCTCTGCCTTCTTCCTCCTGGGCCCCTTTCCCAGCTCTCATCCCTCCTCTGCTGGCAGAGGACTTGGCTGGATTTCAGTAATCCCCACCATCTGCTCACTCCCGCGCCGTGAAGCATGGCTCAGAACTCATCTCCACCTGCCCCGCGTTAACCAAGATCTGGGAGGAGTTCCCTCCAAAGCTCTTCCTTTCATTCCATTTTTGGTAGCAAATTCTCCCCCGCCCAAACTCCCAGGAACCCAGGTGGAGACAGAGGGCAGAGCTTGTGCCCATCTGTGCTCTTCTGGACTGCTTCTTGCCTTATTGTTACCCCCCATCCACATGCCCTCTATAAGAATGGCCATAAAGCGTCAGATCAAAGGTCCATCTAGCCCAGTATCCTGTCTTCCGACAGTGGCCAATGCCAGGTGCCCCAGAGGGAATGAACAGAACCAGGTAATCATCAAGTGATTCATCCCCTGTCACCCATTTCCAGCTTCTGGCAAACAGAGGCTAGGGACACCATCCCTACCCATCCTGGCTAATAGCCATTGATGGACCTATCCTCCATGAACTTATCTAGTTCTTTCTTGAACCCTGTTATAGTCTTGGCTTTCACAACATCCTCTGGCACAGTGCGTTGTGTGAAAAAATACTTCCTTTTGTTTTAAACCTGCTGTGTATTAATTTCATTTGGTGACCTCTAGTTCTTGTGTTATGAGAAGGAGTAAATAACACTTCCTTATTTACTTTCTCCATACCAGTCATGATTTTATAGCTATCCTTCAGTCATCTGGTACAGAAGCTGATGTAAATGATAGGTTACAAACCACAGTTAGCAGTTCTGCAATTTCACATTTGAGTTCTGGTGACTTCCCCAGATTTGTCACCTAAAAAGAAGGGCTCAGGTTTGGGAAGCTCCCTCACATCCTCAGCCGTGAAGACTGATTCATTTAGTTTCTCCGCAATGGCCTTATCATCCTGGAGCGCTCCTTTAGCATCTCGATTGTCCAGTGGCCCCACTGGTTGTTTAGCAGGCTTCTTGTTTCTGATGTACTTAAAAAAATTTTTGCTATTACTTTTTGAGTCTTTGGCTAACTGTTCTTGAAATTCTTTTTTGGCCTTCCTAATTATATTTTTTACACTTCATTTGCCAGAGTTTATGCTCCTTCCCATTTTCCTCTATAGGATTTAACTTCCACTTTTTAAAGGATGCCTTTTTGCCTCTCACTGCTTCTTGTACACGGTTTACATTGTTGGCACTTTTTTGTTTCTCTTACTACGTTTTTTACTTTGGGGTATATTTACGTTGAGCTTCTATTCTGGGGTCTTTAAAAAGTTTCCATGCAGCTTGCAGGGATTTCACTTTTGGCGTTGTACCCTTTAATTTTTGTTTAATTAACTTCCTCAGTTTTGTGTACGGTAGTTCCCCTCTCTGAAATTAAATGCCTCTGTGGTGGGCTGCTGTGATGTTTTCCCCACCACAGGCATGTTAAATTTAATTATATTATGGTCACTATTACCAAGCGGTTCAGCTATATTCACCTCTTGGACCAGATCCTGTGCTCCACTTAGGACTAAATCAAGAATTGCCTCTCCCCTTGTGGGTTCCAAGACTAGCTGCTGAAAGAAGCAGTCATTTAAGGTGTCAAGAAACTTTATCTCTTGCATCCCGTCCTGGAGGTGACATGTACCCAGTCAATAATGGGGATAATTGATTATTGAGTTTTTTATTTTAATAGCCTCTGGAATCTCCCGGAGCATTTCACAGTCACTATCACCATCCTGGTCAGGCGGTCGGTAGTATCTCTCTGCTGCTATATTCTTATTATTCAGGTATGTAATTACTATCCATAGTGATTCTATGGTACAGCTGTATTGGCCAACGACCATGGCAGTGCTGTTGTGAGCAGCTTGCTCGGAACTCGTCGGGTTTCTGCTTCCATTAGCAGCCACCCAGGAGCCTGCCCCACAGAGCAGAAATCGACGCATTTCTCTCCATACCGAGATGGTGGCTAAAATGCAGTTTGCCGGTCAAAACTGCTCCAAAGAGTTCTCCAACTGGCTAGTGCGACAAGAGTTTCAGCAGGAGATGTTTCATTCCCAGCCAGACAGCCTTGTTGCTGGAGAGGTGCATGCTGGGAGCTGGAGCTAGAGCTGGGCAAAATGTTTGCAGCAAATAGTACATTTGCTGAACAATGCATTTTGGGGGGTATTAAAACTATTCGCAAATTCAGGTCAAATTTGACTAATAGTTTCAACCAAAAATAAAAATAAAAAATGAAGAATTCCGAAATGTTTGTGAAACGAATCGTTCCCACATGTAGTTTTGAATCAAGAATGAAAAGTTTTGTTCAACCCGAATTCATTTTTTTTCTTTTGGTTTTTCATTTCAGCGAGAAAAACTGAAGGAAAAAAAAATCAGTTTTGATTAGAAACCAACCAAATTCTTTTTCTGTATTTTTCAGTTTAGCCCCCAAACAAAAGAATCAGTTGTTTGCCCAGCCCTCTCCTCTTTATATGTTTTAGCCAAGGAGTGTTGCCTGGAACCAGCCACGTGAGACAGCAGTCACTCAACACGCATGTCACACACGAAGGACGACGCACAGCACCAAACCTAACTACTGAGGGGAATAAGAGAGTATACAGGGCATGGAACTACATGGAAAAGGAATGTATCCTACCCCAGGAACTCATGCAAATACATACCTGCATGTGAATCCTCATACAATTACCCATTCACAAAAACATGCACATGTGGCCCTCGACAGGTCTTTCTGGCCTTGAGAATCATTCATTCAGGAGGCAGGAATAGAACCATGTGATATAGGTGACCCCCCCCCCCACAGCACAGGCAGTGGATTACAAACAGCAAATGGTTTGCAGCAATAGTAGCGTTAGGCAGTTTGCGAGCCACCCATCGGCTCAGCTCATCCCTCAGATAGAGCGTGCAGCTGTACAACCAACGTGTTTGGGGATAATGCACAAACCCAGAGGGGAGGTGAATGTGCTGAATGGATTTGTCCTTGCGAACAGCCTGCCCAGCTCTGTTCCATGTCAGTTCGGTGCCAGCCAGTTTTATGCCAGAATGCAGCAAGAGACTGGCTCTTGGGAATGGAAACGGAAAGAATTTGTGACTTGTACAGCCAGAAAACATATTTACCGGATTTATTTATAACAGAGACTGGGGGACTTGCACGCACCTAGCAAGAGACGTTGCCTGGCTCAGAGATTGCACAATCTAAAGAGACGAGACAGACAAAAGGTGGGAGATTATTATCTGCACTTTACTATAGGAAATGGAGGCACGGAGAGATTGAAAGTGACCTGCCCCCAGTCACGTGGTGAGCCAGCGTCAGAGCAGGAATTGAACCCACAGCTCAGTGCCTTACCCACAAGACCATCCTTCCGCCCCAGTCTGCCTCTAATTTCAACAGCTGACTTCTATTCTAATTTGGGACTGACTGGAAGGATTGTTTAGTTTTAAGGCGCGCCAGCATGAGACCCGTGGACAGTCACGGTGTTGGGAGTAGAGGGAAGGCCCCTGTCCCAAAGCCAGCAGGACAGCCCCGATTCGCAGCCTGCAAGACAATTAGAGTCTCGAGTTCACTTGGGCACCTGCTTCACACAGCACCACAAGGTGATGGAGGGAGGAAGCGCGGGCCAGTGGTTACGACACGAGCAGAGATGCGGGAGAACTAGGTTCAAGTCCCTCCTCTCTTACTGACTCTCCTGTATGACCTTGGGCGAGTCACTTAGCCTCTCTGTGCCTCAGTCCCCCATCTGTACAATGGGTATAACAGCCCTGCCCTACCGGGGTGTTGTGAGGATAAATACATTAAAGATTGTGAGGGGCATACTACAGTGAAGGGGGGCATGTAAGTACCTAAGATAGATGATGCCAGTGCACCATCGACACCACATCAGTGTCGAGATAACAGAGTGTGATAATCCGGGACACACAACATTGTGCCATCGCTTGGACACAAACCCTGCAGGGCCCCCCCACTCTGAGCAACATTGTGGTGTGATGACTGCATCCTGTAATGCACAGTCCAGCGTCCC